CACCCATCAAAAACTCACGCATATTAAGATGGACAATGTTTCTACAGACGTTCAACTTCACAGTTATTTATCGCCCAGGGAAAGAAAATGTCTTAGCCGATTTTTTGTCGCGCACCCCAGAGGCATTGGAATAGGATTGATGTTTATTTGTTGAATTTACATGATATTTAAAATGCATGCTGTTATGAAAATAATTTGGATAACGATAATGTTGTTGATAATAATGCTTAGTGAAGTCAGGAATCTATATTTTGCATGCATTTAGTAATGTATTGACGATATATTGAGGAGTGAGTGTGTGTGTATTCAAGTGTTCTTATTTGCTCTCACGTACTGGTGCTGTTTGCCGCGACATGACTCCAGTTTTCCGACCGAGACTACGTCAAGTCCTAGTGCTCGGTCGTCCTCGGGAGGGGGGAAAAGCTGTCGCGTGCGAATGTGCACCAGAACGCACCGGTACGGAGTGAGCAAATAAGACGTCAAAACAATACGTAACGTTGTTATGATAATATTGTTGTCAAAGCAGTTGATGTTTATAGTCCGAAGGAGACGGACGTGGGAATCCTTGAGGACGCTTTACCCCGGGATCCCACGGAAGCAAACGTTATATAAAGTTGGATCCTTGAGGACGTTTTACCCCGGGACTCCAAGACCTCAGCAGGAAGCTGGTGAGCACTACATTCTCGGCAGTAAGCCGGTATACTTTCATTGCTTAATTTGGACTTGTCCGAGGACCAAGATGATTGTCATGATCTCAAGGTCGGACTGCGACCTATCGTAAGGACATATCCGTCCATGGATGTACGAGCGAGCTTTGGTTGAACGAGTTGAATTATTATTGCATATGTATCCTTTGTGTTGATCATTGCTGATTGTATATATCAATACAACCATTGGAACTTAACGCATAGCGTTCGAGCTCTACCTTTTGAAAGCATTGAAGTAACTACTGTTTTACCCCTACTTGGCCTATTTCATCTTGGTACCACACACATCAGCATGAAGCTCTGCACGTCACAATGAAGGACCACCGCACGTATCAGGTGGCCTCTAGTGTTTACACTAATCCTGGTTCACCGGCGGCATAGCTGTCGGACGCCAACCTGATTAGTAAGCTTCCATTGCGAATGCTGAAGGATCGTAGCGTGGCAGGCACTATCACTTTTGTAATTGTTGTGTATTCAATCCAGTTGTAATAATGTCATTAATTGCAATTTTTTTAACATGAAAGTGATGAATATCGCTTAAAATACTGAATTTGAAAGAAAAAAAAGCAGCTAAAACAGTAGCAATATTTATCTGGAATTAATAAAGAATGAAGGAACATTTCGTAAGGATTAATGATCTTGTAGAATGTAATCATTATATTCAGCAAATTATTTTGCATAATCAGAAAATTAAATTAGCTTCACCGGAGATGCGGTTTTATAACCTTTTAATAAAAATCTGAGAGATGAGCAATTTTTAGAGCATGTTTTGAAATGACCTTAAAAATGTATTAGTGTCCCAGAATAAAAAAACAAACTGAACACATAAACACACACATATGAGGCTACAAACAATTTACAGAGAATTAGGCTGACCTATAGAATTGACTCTAGACCTGGTTCACCTTTATGATAGTCATTGGACTCGGACACCAAACTGATAAGCTTAGCTTTATCTTTAAAGCTCTGAGCCTGCTTGTTACACCTTTTCAAAAAATCTTTGCCTGGTAATCGCAGATGCTCTGACAATAGTTGAATCTTCCCATTATCTCAACTTCCCTATGTTATAATATCTGTCTTAAATTGTACGAATTCATTGTTGATCCAGTCGCGCACAAGTAACTTTTTTTCTGTGATGTGTATCTGTCTACCTTGCAGAGAAGGCGCACAATTGAATAGTGATACTAGCGCAGGTACAGAATATCATACGACTCGTCGCAGTTTGCTCTCTTCAGTTTTTTAAGGAGCAACTGAGCACCCTTACAACATTATTGGTTGGTTGGGGGGGGGGGGGGGGGGCCTGAGCTGTCTTTTGTTTGTGGACACTCGAAGACAGGAGCGCTTCCACTTTCCCCTCCCCGAAAATGTTTGCATAGGAAATGTGTAATTGACGAGGAAGGCGTGTTTAGGGTGGCCCAACCACTGAGTGATTTAATGAGGGTCTGAACTTAATTAACAGAGCGCCCCCCCCCCCCGCTTTTCCCGATTTTTGGGGGCCCAGAAAAGTTGTAAATTGAGAATGAACACCCTCCTCCTCCCAATGTCTTCTTCGTGGTGGCGCGCATGAATGAGAGATTAACAGCTGGTGACTCAAGGAGACGCTATTCGGAGAGAATTCAACAGGAGCAAACCCCAGTCAACTGCATAACACTTATATTAGGACACCAACTGTTACGAAGTAAACGTAACATGTAGTCGATATTGAGTAGGCTGAGAATATTCTATGAACGTCAACCTTCTTTAACTAGTCTTCATGAGGTCTTGCCAGAAACACAAAATGCTATCCTATACAAGGTAATTTATTAATACAGTTCGAATCTGAACGGAGAAAAAGAGGAAGTGACGTCACGCTCCACCACCAGATGTCGCTTTCTTTTGTATTTCTAAACTTTGTCGGCATCTCAGGTAAGGAATTTATGTTTTGTTATGTCCACATATCTTTACTTATGCCACACCGAATACTGTTTAACTAATTGACAGGCATAGTTGTTATAATATTACACTGTTCGCTGCCAAGGTGAAATGTTTGACAGACAGAACTGTACATCGCATGTTATATTTAAGTAAGATGCCCGAGGACAGCGGCCATGATGGTTTGCCTCCCGTTTACTCAGCAGCAGGGCGGACACTCAAAATTAATGATGAAGATAGAGACATGTCTGAACTAGCGCATCTTCCTACGCCGATTAGAAAGCAAATGAGAAAACATAAAATAGTTGCTTTATTCATTATACTAACACAGTTTTAGAAACAATAACGCTGCTTCGCTGAAAATTCAAGTGGAATATTTATAGTATTTTTTACAAGCATGATAATTAGTAAATTACGGTGACAAGGATTTGAGAACAAATATTCTGAGAGCGGTATATCGTATATCTTGAATAGGTAGAAGGCACCACTGTTCACTACGTCTACAGTAAGGTTTAAAAAAATGTAAATAGTTAGTTTTATAATTATATATGATTATATGACTGTCTTGCCTACCTAAATTCCATGCTGACTGTGATTCTATGTAATAGGTTTAATTTACTCTTTTATTTTTATCTAAATCATGTGAGATATGATATTGAATGTGATATTCTGAGATCACTTAGTTTTACTTTCTTTAATTTTGTGAATGTATGGTCTTGCGAGAATATGAATATGATTCATTCACAAAGTTTTGGATATTTTTAAAGCCGGTTAGGCATCTGGAATTATCTGTTGGAACCAGGGTTAAAAGCTGTGTATTTTAAAATGTTAACAAATCAGGATAAAACAGTATATTTTTAATAATTAATATGAGGGGAAAATGAAATTGTTTTATATGCTGTCAACTTTAATAAATCTCTTATTGAAATCTTTAAACAAATTTTTTTTTTTTTAATTATTAGTATTAGGGCTTTACACCCATTCATCACTGTTTGTATGAATGTGTGAGGTCATGTTTGGTAGGTGTGATTTTAATGTCAGTCATATTCTTAGTACCCTAAGTACTTACTATTACTAACATGTTTTAAATTTATAATTTTACCTGTAAATCTTTGGAATAGTAAGTGTTAACTGTTAATATGTCTGATACATTGGCCTTCAAGTCATCTAAGTTCTTAAAAAAAACAGCTTGATAAAGTTGATATATCAAAATGAGGTTGATATGGGGATTTTTATTCTTGACCTTACCCTATTGTGTACCATCTCTTGAAGTACATAATCACTCCAGCAGTGTGTTTAAGACCAGTAAAAGGACCCTTTCCAATATCCTCTGGCCTATTAGACATATAGTGCTAGATCTGTATTTTATAGACCAATTAGCACTTAGTAGGTGGTGTGGCCGCATTATGCTGACCACCTTTCTAGGACTTTCAAGTGTTACCCTGTTAACCTCGGGCCAGGGTAGGTTTTGAAAAAAAAAAGTGTAGCAGCATTCCAGTTTGAACCAACGACCTTAGGAGCCACAGTGCCACAGGCTCATGTCTAGCCTCTGCACCACAGTGGCTCTCGCAAAACCAGTAGTGGACTACAGAGAGAGATATAAGGATGTCATTCTTTTTCTTCTTTTCACTACTCCTGGAATGCTTTGCAGTATCAGGGCAGGAAGAAATCTCAGGAACGGGCTTTTTTGTTCACTTAGTGCAAAGTACTTTTCAGTGTCTCAGATATTTCTGCGGTCCGTCTTCTGTATTGTCGACCTCTGGCACTGATACTGTTGTATCTGTGTAACATTGCTCTATTGCCATTTTTTTATGCCAATCTTGTTATATTTTGAAACCAATTGATTTGTTGTCTACCTACAAAGTTCACTATTGGTTCTGTGTTGATTCTCCTCCTGATATCATCGCTCCTAAGTTGATCTTTCCTCATTACACCTTGGATGTCATTAAGTCATGATATACAGCATTGGAAGACTGGCTAATATCATGCATATGTTGGTAGTGTTGCTTCCATGGTTTTAGGTAAATAAGACTTCATCCAGTGCCCAGAGAAAGTGCCCAAGATTAAACATTAGAAAATCACTTTAGAAAAGTAAAAGGAATACCAAAATGCCATGCATTTGTTGGGCATGACTGCCATTGACTCCTAATCCCACCGTGTCAAATTTCTTCCATGGTTCCATGTTACTCTCTCCTTCTGTAAATATTTCTGTCTGTCAGCACTATCTCATTGTTTCCTATAGTTTATCTTCCCTGACTAGTGACTGCCCTTTCCAGTTTCTGCCCCGTCTGCTGCACCCTCTTCCTCATCAAACTCTCAGATAGTTGCAACATATTAGCTTTCATTTTAGTGACACATTTTTCATGCGTTCTCAATTATAGGATGAGTTTTGTAGAGGACAGGGCTGCGGCCAAGGAGTTGGACCAGTGGATAGAACAACTGAATGACTGCAAGCAACTTTCAGAAAACCAAGTTAAAACCCTTTGTGAAAAGGTGAGTTTCACAGATAATCATTTCATTTCTAGTTTGTGGACACTCTGTAAAGAGTGCATGAAAGCCGTTACAAAATTGTAACAAGAAATATGTGAGCAAATTATACATTTGTAAGACTATAGTTTAGCACTAAATTTAATTAAGAAGATGTTGCATAACGACTCAGTGGCCACCAGTTAACTCATGTCCTGCTGTAACTTTTCTGAATAAGCTTATTTTTGAAGATTGACGATATTTCTATTGACAGACAGGACTGCTAAACTTTACTGAATGCTAAATGTGTCAAGTGTTTTTAAATCCTTACCCATTAAATTACTAGTTTTCCCATCATTTGTTGCATGGATACTTTAATTTTCTCAGAATATTCTCTTAGAGTACAATGTTTATTATTGAACTGTTACCATCAAATAAGGTGTGGTAGTTGTATTGGTCATGTGATTGCTGCCAGCATAGGGCCTTGGTGATAGGTCTTCAGCACTGGTTCGATATTTTTTGTTTTTACTATAACAATACAGCTCATGAGTCAGCCCAACCCATTTTCATAGAAACGATGCTGTAAATTTACAACGAAATGAAAACAAGATTATTGTACAGTTTCTATTATCTTCTTATTCTTCTATGCGGTTCTGTATGCTCATGTCGGACCATCAGGGGTGTTGTCTCTCTGAACTTGCATGTCAGCTACAATTCCTGCTTGGTTACCCATAGCTTGCTGTGTACACTTTGCTGTTAAGGTTTCTTTTTGAAGTTGTAGGTAGAGTGGGCAGATCTGCAGAGTGTGCTCAAGTGTTTTTGGTTGTCCTGTCCGACAGGCACACTGTGGGGACTGTACAGTCTTTATTTTATGCATGTGATAGTTGAGCCAACAGTATCTTGTTCATAGACAGAAAATTGTATGTTGCTATTTGTTGAGTCCTCATGGGGTTTTGTGGATGTTTACTGTTGGTTTGTTCTCTCCACAATTCCTCGTATTTTCCCTTGATACATGTTTTAATTCCTGGTAATGACAATGGATGTTGTTTCGCTTTCGTTCCATTTTTAGCAAGTCTGTCCTCTAACTCATTTCCTGGTATGTCACAGTTTGTTGTTCTTATAACATTACAGTCAACCCAACCCACTGTCATAGAAATGATGCAGTAGTTTTAAGGCAAAATAAAAACAACAAAGATTTTGGTACAGGACCTAGTAAAGTTTGGACAGATAATTTATCATGCTGAAAGCCTTCAGATGTTTCGGTGCCGGAGTGGGCAAGCCATCTGTTCCATGCCGTGAAGGCCTTGGGTTAATTTTACGGATGAGCTATTCATCTCACGAGTGCATAGTGTAGAGTGACCACTAGGGATTGTTGCTGGATCTACAGTGTTCATGCTTACTGTGACTCTCTCAGCAGTTGGCTGAGACCAAGCCCTGCAGTGTAACTGGGTGCAATTAGGTTGATCCTCCGAGCTTTAACTTTTAATTGAGAGCAGTATGTGGCACAGGGCTGTCTTTATAACTCAGTCTAGACCATCGTAGTAATCAGGACCAGATGTGTTATGGCAGGATCAGTGGTTTCTGCTTGTTATCAGGGTGCCACTCTTTTCCTTCTTGAGTGCACACATGCTGCTTGTTTTTTTTCCAGTTTATCTATCATTGGAGCATTGGCTCTCCATCAGCCCTGGCTAGGCTACCCTATGTTTTTCATTGCCAGGATTTACCAAAATCTCAAAAATATTCTTGCTATCTGTTATTATGCTCCTTATGTGAGTTTACGTCTCCCTCTTCACTTTTTACCTGTGGGTTTTGGTGACAGGATTTTCTCCTTATATTATAATGCTAAATAAATGTCATGTGGCAGCCTATTTGTACTTCTTCAGTATCGTAAAGGACTATTTTCATGCTAGCGGCGCATCTGGTTTAAAAAAAAAAAACAGAGGAACCTTTTCCCACTCTTTTGGGCATATTGGGCTAGACCTTTATTTTGTAGATCGTTGGGCACTCGGTGGGTGATGTGATGGTCATCGTGTCGGCCGCCTTTGCTTCCCATAACTACCAGGTACCTGATCAAGGCTGGTTGGCCTGGGAGCCACGGTTGTTTTGAAAAAGTCCAGGACCCATACCCCATGACCTTCCAATCTGCTGGCAGGCATCTAGCTGCTACACCACAGTGGCTCACTCTGGCATATTATTGATAGGGGATGTTAGCATCACGCAGCCCACCTTGATTTTCCATGACTTTACCTAGTTACCGCTCAGTGACCAGGGAGCCAAATCATCTAAATTAAAAAAATACAGCTCGATGCAGATTTGAACAAAAGATATTTGGGCTGATAGGCAGACATCTAGCCACTTCGCTACTGTGACCTCCTTAAAATAGCATGATTGTGATTTAAATTACTTTGAGTAGGTTGTGAATACATGGATATATTATTTTCTATAGGCAAAAGAGATTCTTTCAAAAGAATCCAATGTTCAAGAGGTCAAATGTCCTGTGACAGTGTGTGGTGATGTCCATGGTCAGTTTCATGATCTCATGGAGCTCTTCCGTATCGGAGGAAAGTCTCCAGACACAAACTACTTGTTTATGGGTGACTATGTGGATAGAGGCTACTACTCTGTGGAAACCGTCTCCCTGCTAGTCACTTTGAAGGTAATGTTATTGAAGCATTTGTGATGTTTCTCTATAGTGTGCACACATTAGAAGCTTATTCTTTAGCAGGCTGTTATGTTTGATCACAGGCATTCAGAGGACTGAGCATTCATGCAAATGCTTAGTGTGTATTAACATCGATGATGATCACATATTGATGATATTTCTCCATGCCACAACTGTCTTAGATCATCCATCATTTCTTTTGGTCGTCCTATATTTCTGCTGCTTTTTCTTCGCTCACCATTAAAATGTATGGTGCTTTTTTTATATCCTACCCCAAACATGGGAAATCCACAGGTCACGGGACCGTCTAATATTTCAGGAGGTGGTGGATAGGCTGCATGCAGTCGTGGGAACTATGCTGCATGCAGTCATGGGACCTAGGGTGCACTCTCTCATGGGACATATGTGGATTGGGGTTAGGGCCAGTTCTAGCTGTTTTGGGGTTGTTAAAAGCATCAGAAAGCCGGGAAACCCAGTCTTACCACAAACTTATGTACCTTTTGTTCAGAATACATGAATATGTTGAAAGGGAGCTATTAGTAAACACAAAGATACAAGGCATTAAATGGAATAAATTGCCTGTTGCCTAAAAAAGCCATGTGTATCATGTGGCTGATACCATGACCTCTCACTGGTGCTTATGGGAAGTTTGACGTCAACATGGCTTTAAAAAGCTATTTATCCTCAGGAAAACCCTCCCCCTCCCCCCAGAGCCATATTGAGTTAATGTGCTCATTTCCTGACCTAAAGGTTTGCACAGGCATGAACTCAGCCAGTAGCATTAGCTATGCATCTTGTAAACACCTTACTCTAGACAAATCAGACAGGTGACATTTACAAGATATTGGATCCAACTGAAGTGTCGGTTTTTCCAGCTTCCCAGGGTAACAGGATAAATGCATCTTTTATGTGTTGCTATGAGGGCACCCTTGAGTGGAACATTTCAGCTTGCTAATATTGGTTCCATTTACATTGATTTTACATTTTGGGAGACATATTTGGTTGATTTGATTTTTTTGTGTGTTGCTCTTGGATGGAGCCCATGGACTTCTGTGTTGGGGAAAGAGGGGTGGCCCTCTGTGTTTTTTCTTACAAGCATTTCAGATATTCAGGTTCTTTGAAATTGGATGCGTTGGGCTGAAAGGTGCCTAGCTATAAACCACAGAATGTGCCAAAAATTTAATTAACTTCCATTTCATTTCAAGAATTTCTTCTGCTGCAGCGGTTGCAATTCTTGCTTTATTGTTGCAGGTACGCTTCAAGGACAGAATCACAATTTTGAGGGGCAACCATGAAAGTCGTCAGATTACACAAGTCTATGGGTTCTATGACGAGTGTCTGCGCAAGTATGGCAATGCTAATGTATGGAAGTACTTCACAGATTTGTTCGATTATCTCCCTCTTACAGCTCTAGTCGATGGACAGGTTTGTGCTTGTTCTCTACTTATAAAGTGTCTCTTATATTTGTTTTTTGGGCTTTAAGTGAAGTAAAAGGTCGTGGGTTTGAATTTGCGCTGCAGATTAAAAAAAATGACCATAGCTCCCAGGTCGATCCAGCCACTTCTTGAGGCAGATAATAAGCAGGCATATAGTGCTAACCTCATATTTCGATATACCACTGTGAGTGATATGGTGAATCTCTTAATGGATGCCTTTTCTTCCTAACACATTTCCTGGTACCCATTTTAGACTGGATTGATTTTTATACCTAGACCAGTTTTTTTTTAAAATCTGCCCCAGTGCGGATTCGAACTCAGACCACCAGACTGGCAGGCGAGCATAATCAGGGAGTAAATTATTACATTTTACTTTCATTCAGGCACACCTGATTCAATTAATGGTGTTAACGCAAATGTCTACAATTTAAAATTTAAATAATCAATGGTATACTTCCCCATTATCCTGTGGTAGTGCATGTGGCACCTTACTTTTTTCTACGAAAATGTCAACAACAAAAAACAACTATAAACAGAAAAGGTTGAACATGCTACTACTGTCAAGGCAAAATTTCAGTGGTAATAAAGCAGCTGTTTATCTCGTGTAATGCTGGTGCACACGCTTTTGGATTCTCACCTGTGCTGTATGGTTCAGCCACTATGTTGACTCCTTATGTTAGTCTTGTTGTTGTTATCAATCCAGCAGCCCAATGCCATGTAGTGGAATTTACATGTTTTTACAATTTGTTTTTTCCTCTCCGTACAAAGTGTTCCATTTGTCTGGTCACGGAGGGAGTAGTATTCTTCTAGTCTCGCTGAGTTTTGGACTCTCAAAGAGATGATGTCAACAGTTTCTTAGGGGTGGTTACATAGCTGGCACTCTTGGGAGTGTTGTCCATTGAGTGGAATGTGTTAAGTGTTCAGAGTCTGAAGATGGTGGCCTTGTCCCTCCTTGTTAGATGGTTAATACTGTCGTTGACATCGGGGCTAGCCATATGTCTTTAGACCTCTCTTCCAGTATCTTCCATGGCCCATCTGTTCAGCCAAGTTTCTTTGTTTATAGCTCTCATAAGCGTTTTTGTCTTAGTCGAAGTTTTAACTTCACTGCAATCCTTTAACCCTATAGTAGCTCCATTCCTGTGCCAGTAAAAATCAACTAAAATGTCCCCCACAGTCCCTTTGACTCCTTGTGTGATGTAAAGAAGAGCCATTCAGGGGCTGTCACTATAATGACCCCCCGTGTGAGTTCTAGAGCCCTATTATAGGGAAAACAAGAATAGACCCACTGCCTTCCCAAAAGCAAGTCATAGAAGTCGACTAATTGGGAGTTTCCTTCGAAGTTGGAATGCATCTGCCTGAGAGGCAAGGAACCAACAATTTGCACACCGATAAGTCAGATCTGTAAATTGGATGCACACACGACACTCAGGTTCTAAAACATGACTGCAGTCTAGTAGTGGATAAACATGCTGTCTTTCACCGTGGATGTACATTCTCTGAGACCGCAGTTTAAATTAATATCTTGGTGTTATCCTCCCACTTGCATTGTCGCCTGCCTCCTGCTCACATATTTCATAAACTTTTCCCCCAATGGTGGTTTTATATGCTGTGCCTTTCAAAGCTGCCAAAATATTTCACTTCTCTTTATTTCCTTCAGCAGCTCTGTTTTCCTCCCCAATCTCTTCAGGACTTCTCTATTTGTTTGTTTTTGTTTCCATGACATGATTAATTTTCCAGTGCTTCTCCAGAAATGCTGTTAGATTTTCTGATGGCCTTTTTTGAAGATGTTTGTATGCCAAAAGCATGATCTCTAACAAAATCAAATCAGACAGCCAAATATGGAAGAAATAATTGTTTTGATGCATTGTAATTTTAATTAGGGTTGTACCAAATATTCATTTCAAGGCCAAATAGGGGACCTAATAACTATTCAGTATTCAGCAGAATACTTGTGGTTGGGCCAAATACGAATATTGGTTACCTTACACCTGTTTCTGCATACACTGTGATGGACTGAAATCACTCTCTCATTAACACAATAGTTGCTGTTGCCTAAATCTGTCGTAGCAGGGGGAAACTGCGACTCTGTTGTATGGTACATCAGCTGGCAAGATCTTTGCCTGCTGACTCGACCGAAGCATTACAGCAGAGGTTCTCAAACTGGGTGCATATGCCAGGGGTGCCGCAACGAAAATCAAGAAAAGTCGGCTATAAATTGTGACATTATTAAAGAAGGCATGACGATGCTTAAAAGTTAAAATTTAAATTGTCTGTCCTCGTAACAGTCGAAAAGAGTTTTTTCCTCCCCTTTCCACACTCAAAGTGTATCAAACTGCATAAAATGCCAACAGCAGTGAGTGTGTCTGTGAGAGAAAGAGAGAGATCATGCATTTTTCGTTCTTTCAGGGTGTCTTCGCCCAAATCAAATTTGAAGATATTGCCAACGAGAGTATGAAGGTGTGTTTAAATTACATCGAAGATCTCAGATTGTGGAAAAGCAAAATCGCCCACACCTGTCGGCAAGGCACCTGATGATGATGATACACTATTCTTATTCACCCGAATAGTTGGTCCACTCATGTTCGGTCGAATAGTGAAAACCACTATTCTGTACAGCCCTAATTTTAATAGATTTGTATAAACAAGCTGTTGATTTTCTCTTGCAGATATTCTGTTTACATGGAGGCTTATCACCATCTATAGATACCCTAGATCATATTAGAGCTTTAGACAGGATTCAGGAAGTTCCACACGAGGTCAGTACATTATTACTTTTAACTAGTTTACAGTTTCTCTCTCAGCGATGAGAAATCATTATAAAGTTAAAAAAAATATAAATATTAGTCAGAGGTATTTCTTACATATTATTAAGGTGTGGAGAGAGTGGTGTAGAAGGGAGTAGTAACCAAGGGATCTGATAGGCACTCTACACTCAAAGGAAAGGCAGGACCTACAAATAATAAAGCTTCTATCAGCATTAGAACTCTTTGCTGGCTGCTGAAATGATGGAGTGCTGCTGGGAATGTGTCAAGTGCTTTGCATTTTGGTTCATAACTCAACTCTGACATTTCTGATATATGGAATGGTTGAAATCCAGGATACACAAGGAAAACTCTGCATATTAGATTAAATGAAAGCAGAGTTAAAGTTCTCATAAATACGGCTTGATTTCTTATTATGATATGGAGCCAGCCCTATATTGTTTATAGACTGATTGCAATACTTCGACCTTATTAAAAAAATCATAATGGTTTGGAGACTTCCTGTCAAAAAGGGAGGATAGGCATGGCAGAGTGTTAAGCTTCGAAGTTATTATTGCTGCTGACTAATGCAATTTCCACATATAGATGTAAGTCTACGGTTTTGCTGCTTGAGCTACCAAGTTTGGTGCTTAAGTGCAGCCCTGTCACTGCGTTTTTCATGTGCAGTTCCTTTCATTTGTACAGCGGTTGAGTCGTATTCAGTATGGCTGAAAGCTGGTTTATATGTGAGCTGGCAAATTACCTTTTGTTATAATTCTACGTGTGTATAGCTTATTGTGCCCTACTTCTTCCATCAACGACGAACTGCATTTCTGGTGGCGACTGTTGGTTTTCGTACCTCTAGCAACTGCCAGATGCATTTACTGTATATACATATTTCTGGGTTGTTCTGGGACTATTTGTTTGTTCACCAGTTTTTCAAATGGGTATTGAGGGACATTTTATTTGGTTTTCACTTGCGCAGGAATGGAGCAAGTATGAGGAAATGGATTGCAGTGACCTGAATCTGCCTCAGTTGGATTCAGAACACAGTGAAACTGTCATTGTTTGGTTCTGCTACATATTTAACATAAATCCTAGCCTGTTATACTCCTTTTGTTTATTTCATTCTAATTCAATGAGACCGCTCCACTTCTTTATACATGGGTACTACAGTTATTATTCACCTTTGTCTCTCTCATTCATGTGTTTTTAGATCTTCCTGTATTTCCTTTCCTCTGTGTGTTCAGAAGAAAGAACTTTCACTTGTTTCATCAGTGAAGGTCCTACTCAGTGCAGTCACCGTTCTCTTGATTCAAGGATTTGTTCAGTATACTCAACCAACCCCACACTGGTAATATTTATTCATAAACCCAGGGATTTTTATAACTTTCTTTGGCTTTCTTGCGGTAAAAATTTATCTCCTGTGCACCTCTAAACCACCCTTGCCTTATTATTGTGAAGTTAATAAAATGTTTTATTTGTATGTTTATGGCTTAGTTAATATGTTTTACAATTTCAAGATCCTTGACATATCAGACTGTTTATTATTTCTTTTTAGAAAGCATTCTTGAGGCATTTGGACTTTGTGTTATGAATGTCATACTGTGGAAGAGGCATCAGCATATAGTATTTCTAAAAACAGCTGTGGGTGCACTACAGCTGGGCTTTATTATTCTGAAGAAGGCAAACTTTTTTTTAAATTTGTTTCTTCTTTTTTTTTAAGTGCACTGGCTTTAAACTCTTGCGGAAAGTTCCAGTTGTGTGTTTATCCACATCTGGACTTAAGTGTTATTCCAGAATTTGAGTTACATGTGCACATCTGTTTGCAGATCAAGCTTATCTGTAAGCAGACTGTTGGTTCCTCGCCTCTCAGGCAGATGCAGTCCTGCTTCGAAGGAAACTTCCCTGATTAGTAGTCCACTTTTATGACATGCTTGTTAAGGTGGCAGTGATTCTATTCTTTTTACCCCCCCCCCCCCCCCCCCCCCTCCAAGATGGGGGTCCCAGAATCCACACAAAGGATTTTTTTTTTGAGTTTATAGTGTGCATGTTTGTTTATTTTTGTTTCTTTTGAACTCATTAAAGTTTTTTTTTTTTAACAGGGACCAATGTGTGATCTCCTGTGGTCTGATCCGGATGACAGAGGAGGTTGGGGCATTTCTCCACGTGGTGCTGGCTATACGTTTGGACAGGACATTTCTGAAACATTCAACCACAGCAACGGGCTAACTCTGGTCTCTAGGGCACATCAGCTTGTTATGGAGGTGAGAACTTGCTTTGTGTTTCTCTTGTTGACGCATTTGAATATTACGTTCATGAAGTCTCATGTCATATGTATCACAATGAAAGACACTTGCTCTTTAGATACAAAGAGTTCTGTTGTATTTATAAACAGTTATGTGATAGTTTATATATACGTGTGTTGTGCAAATGCATGCGAGAGAGAGAGAGAGCCTAGTATTGGTGATGTTACTGCCTTTTCCATCGTAAACAACACATACAGAAAAAAGTAATTTTCTTCTTCACTTAAACGTGTATATTGCATTGTAGACTGCATAACATCTGCGGCATTATACATAACAGCTCAGAAGGGTTTATTCTGTGCGGCGCCCCCCACCCCTGCCGCAACCCAAAACAAAAGTTACCCTGCTAGACCTGCAAGATCCAAAAAAAAGACAGTAAACAAAATCGCATTTATAGGTCACTACATACATTGCATGGTGGCGCCATTTGCAAAGCTAGGTGGAATAAAAACTGAGCTAAATTATGTTAATTTTCTGACCTGCAAACGCCTTTTTTCCCCTCACTCCCAAGCCTATAGAAGGAAAGACTAACAAACCAGGTTTACATTTATCCATATTTCTAAAATCGGACATTCGCTTCTACTTGAACACTTAAGTGATCTATAAAACATTGTTTGCTTGGACAAGATGACACATCATTTCTTAAAATAAAATCGTTGGTGCATATGAATTATGCATTTTTATTAATTCATTGACTGGCATTCATGGCTGTAAAAAAATATATATATAAAGGTAAATTGCAGGGAAACCTTGAGGCTAACCTTACTCTGCGCTTTTTAGTGCCATTCAATGCCTGTCAGTTTGTTTATCGTTGTCAGGTTTTTAAAACACATGTTTGTATTAGAGTCTGGTGTAACTATTTCACTTTGTGGTGAAACAAAATGTTTGCAGAATGCCTCGTGACACTTTGGCAAGGACTGCTGTCTGGTGGATGGTAGGTGGAAAATTGTCATCTGGAAGACCTAAGAAAACCAGGAGAAAGACAACAGAAAGAGAAATGGAATGTAAAATGAACTGGGATCCCATAACATCAGCTGAGATCACTTGTGAATACCTTGTATATCAACAACATAAGATTTACAACAACATTAATAAGATATAGACTCACAATAGTAACTTATGTTAATTCTGATATTTATTTTTTTTTGTTTCAGGGCTATAACTGGTGCCATGATCGTAATGTTGTGACGATATTCAGTGCTCCAAACTACTGCTATCGATGCGGTAATCAAGCAGCCATAATGGAGTTAGATGATGCTCTGAAATATTCATTGTAAGTGCTTGTGTATATGTGGCAGCAGTCATTTCATGAGTCAATGTGGTGTAAGACACTTCTTTGTATTTACCTTGTACTGTAAATTGTTTCATTACTGTATTTTAAACAACAGAATTAAAGGAGTTTTCACGCCATTGGCATATTAGGCAAATAGGGTGAGAGCCAGCTTCTTTTAGACCCATCAGCAGTCTCCGCCATTGCCGGCCCTAAGCCCTGCTGAGAAAGTAGGAGGGTTGGGCATAAGGCCAGCTTTTCCACCTTGTAAAACATTTGCTACAGAAACTTGCAGGAAAGGACGCCATTCTGGTAAACAAAATAGTCAAGTGGTGTGTTATGCATAGCCTGCACCTATGACGGTTAGCCATTCTGTGGAAGTCAGTGGTGAGGCATGCAGTCTGCAGCTCAAAGCTAATCACTAGACTAGGTTTTTGTAATGTTAAGTGTGGTACAAGACAGTTAAAAGACCGAGAAGGTGGCACTATATTGGAATACATTCTGAGAAGAGATAAATAGAGAATCACAAGACAGGCATTGAAATGGATGTAATCGATATAGAAGATAAGGATGTGCAAGAGAAACCCTGAGGCAGACATTGATGAGAGCCTAATGATGTTGGACTGGATTCATCCATGAAATCGAGGTGTTTGCACAGGAGAGAATGGAATGGAGAAATAGACTGGCACAACAGGAAAATAAATTACTTAGCAGTCAGTGGGTGGCTGCCCACCTTTACTTCCCAGGACATTTTCTGTTACCTATTATAGATTGTATCAACCTTCAAGACCACAGTCTAGTATCTTACCACAGCTTAAGCAGCTCCTTTCATGTGCTGACCACCTGCATCATATAGCTCACTTACATATGGTCTGTTAAAACTGTTTTAAACTTACAGTCTGCTTTTTTTCTGTCTTCCAGTTTACAGTTTGATCCAGCCCCAAGACGAGGAGAACCGCACGTGACTAGGAGAACACCAGATTACTTCCTATAAACACAACTGTACCGGGCATGATGATTGCCGTTGCATTGCAGGCATTAAATGGGGGATGCATTACTGGGCAGGTTCACTTCAATGTGAATGTCAGACATTCACAGCGTGGCTATTGTATTCTCTTATTTGTTACATGCTGTCATCCACCTTTAGGACATGTCATTCACGGGATGATGTCACCTCCTGTCCTTATTTGTGAAGCATATCATTAGTAATGTGAAAGTTTAGACAAGGCATTTCCCAGTTTGTCACCATTCTTATCTTATCCTAACCTGTTTTCATTAGTTAGCCTGAAGTGCAAACTTTTACGACATATTTCTTCACTGGCAGTTGTTATAGCAACACATTCTATTGTTGTTAGCTTATCTCCTCCTATTCCATTGTTGTTGTTTTTTTTTTTTTTTTTAGATCTTAAGAGTCAAACATGGGCTGCTTGTGACTAGAATTTCTCAGGCTTGACAGAATAAGTGCATACAGCTGATAACGAAAGTTAAAGAAACAGAACAGCAGCAACAACTATGTAGCTAGTCATCATGGACAACTTTACTTTCAGCATTAAAAAACATGACAATTTGTTACATTTGCACCACATGCCGATGGCCTGCAGGAAACAACCCAAACACTAACATGTTGTCAAACACAGTTGGATTAAGTCATCCACATAATTATATCCTTTCCGAATGCTAATAATCATGAAGGATGTTAAAGTAACACATTAAGTTTATATTTGTCTCAGGCAGTAACATTTTGGCAGCCATGTGTTGAATATTGATGCTGTTAGAGATAACAAGTTCTAGAAAGGCATGATTGCCAACACCAGTCAGGGAGGCACTTGTTGATGATTTAGGAAAGGTTTTTATTATGGAGGCTTATCTCATTCTGTATTTTATGTAACATTTATCACTAATGAAGGTATGTGAAAAGTTAATAATGCAGTATTCAGTCTGTCATCATTTTTTTGGGGGCTGTTTAACTGTCAATGTGGGGCAAGACATTTACTGAACATGATTTCATCCTGTGTTTTGTATAATAAGTACCAGCGCCTTTTCATGCTGTAAGGCATTTTGGATATGTGGTGCCAGCCCCAATCTTTTTTAGGTCCACCAGCATTTAGTAGGTGATGTGGGAACCATCAGTCCAACCACTTTTAATTCCCAAGAGTTGCTTTAGACTTTAAAGGTATTCCAGCAGGTGACAACAGTGGGGCTGGCAGACAACTACACTACTTTAGTTCTTTTTATATTTAGTTCTAATTATAAATGATACAGACGCTGACCTGTCACCCAAGGTTCTTTGTTCTGAATCCGTATCCACTTGGGTTTTACTCAAACTGACCTTGGCTGCCAGGTGGACACAGTTTGAAATGGACAGCAGACGATGTCCTGGAATGTAATTATAGCCAACATGATCTTGACCACATCAGCTATTTAGAGCATCTGGTCTACAAAATTATGTTTCTCTCATCAAATCCCGGATCTGTCACTGGTCTAACGAAAGGTCCTCTACATGTTTTGGCTCTTTATTTACTTTTCAAGTTAACGGAAGTTATTGCATTATTCATCTCATTATTTTCAGACTTTAAGGCTAGAAGTGTCTACACATTCACATCTGATATTACTAATCTTATTTGTGATGGAAACCGTGAAAGTTACTACTAACAACATTATATTACGTGTCCTGTTATACATATTTTGCATTCGTAATGTGAAGTGATAGTAATTCATCTACAGTCTGGTTTTACTTATTTTCATGTGGATGTAACATTTTTCCACCCATCTGGTCATAAGAATAAACCCACCACATTTCTTTTGTTTGTTGTTTTTGTTCACTAAGTTCGTATTTGTGTCAGCCAGTTATTTTTATTAAAAGAAACACAAATTGTGCACGTTCGGTCCTTTTTTTGAATTTTTCTTAATGAATCGTCTTTAATTTGTTTATTAACACTTTGTACTTTTGATTGATTTGGAAGTGATGGTTAACTTTGTGTCCGTTATTAATTGGAGTTGTGTGAATGCATGCTAAAATGGTTCAAGTGTGTGTAAAAAGTTGATTGAATGAACAGCTGGCCTAGACAAAACAAGATCTTGTCGGTTTTCATGTTTTAAATGTCATAATCTTTAGATGTGATGTTTTTGTGTGTGTGAGACAATGAAACAAAAATTGTTTCCTGCCAAAAGAACTAAGTTATTAAAAACTGGAACATAAATGAAAAGACTTCTTTCGTTGCTAGATGAAGCACTTTATTGCTAAGTGGGTAAACTGTTTGCCTTGCGTTCTGAAGTTTATAGGTTCGTTCTGTTCACAAGAGTGGTTTTTTTTTATAAGACATGTTTGTGCTTTGTGTGACATTCTCAGCAACCTGTTGGCTGTTCTGTGTTGAGAGAGAGAGCCATGTGGGATAATATCTGGTGCAGCAAAGTCAGTTCTCTCAACATATTTCTTCAGGCAGATTTGTTGCAGATGTAAAACATAATGTCACCTTTGTTGTGGCCCATATGTAAGGACCTGAACGGTATATGCTGTTGGAAAACAAAAACTGGAAGGCTGCACATGGTTTTCAGAAAGCCTGGCAGTTTTTTGCAACTTTCTGTGTTAGGGATATGGTGATAGATAGAATGTTCCTATAACCAAGTGGTACTCTTGAGGAAGATCTAGTCAGGATTGTGCCAGCCATAGTAGCTCCTGAATGGGAGATGTAGTCAGTATTGTGCCAGCCATAGTAGCTCCTGCATGGGAGATGTAGTCAGTATTGTGCCAGCCATAGTAGCTCCTGCATGGGAGATGTAGTCAGTATTGTGCCAGCCATAGTAGCTCCTAAATGGAAGATGTAGTCAGTATAGTGCCAGCCATACTAGCTCCTGAATGGAAGATGTCAGGATTGTGCCAGCCATACTAGCTCCTGAATGGAAGATGTAGTCAGTATAGTGCCAGCCATAGTAGCTCCTGAATGGAAGATGTAATCAGTATAGTGCCAGCCATACTAGCTCCTGAATGGAAGATGTAGTCAGTATAGTGCCAGCCATACTAGCTCCTGAATGGAAGATGTAGTCAGTATTGTGCCAGCCATAGTAGCTCCTGAATGGAAGATGTAGTCAGGATTGTGCCAGTCATGCTAGCTCCTGAATGGAAGATGTAGTCAGTATAGTGCCAGCCATAGTAGCTCCTGAATGGAAGATGTAGTCAGTATTGTGCCAGCCATAGTAGCTCCTGAATGGAAGATGTAGTCAGTATTGTGCCAGCCATACTAGCTCCTGAATGGAAGATGTAGTCAGGATTGTGCCAGCCATAGTAGCTCCTAAATGGAATATGTAGTCAGTATAGTGCCAGCCATACTAGCTCCTGAATGGAATATGTAGTCAGTATTGTGCCAGCCATACTAGCTCCTGAATGGAAGATGTCAGGATTGTGCCAGCCATACTAGCTCCTGAATGGAAGATGTAGTCAGGCTAGTGCCAGCCATAGTAGCTCCTGAATGGAAGATGTAATCAGTATAGTGCCAGCCATACTAGCTTCGAATGGAAGATGTAGTCAGGATTGTGCCAGCCATGCTAGCTCCTGAATGGAAGATGTAGTCAGTATAGTGCCAGCCATACTAGCTCCTGAATGGAAGATGTAGTCAGTATTGTGCCAGCCATAGTAGCTCCTGAATGGAAGATGATGTCAGTATTGTGCCAGCCATAGTAGCTCCTGAATGGAAGATGTAGTCAGTATTGTGCCAGCCATACTAGCTCCTGAATGGAAGATGTAGTCAGGATTGTGCCAGCCATAGTAGCTCCTAAATGGAATATGTAGTCAGTATAGTGCCAGCCATACTAGCTCCTGAATGGAAGATGTAGTCAGGCTTTTGCCAGCTATAGTAGCTCCTGAATGGAATATGTATTCAGTATTGTGCCAGCCATACTAGCTCCTGAATGGAATATGTAGTCAGTATTGTGCCAGCCATACTAGCTCCTGCACGGAATATGTAGTCAGTATTGTGCCAGCCATACTAGCTCCTGAACCATGTCAGTCCCTGGCAAGCATTTAACTTTCTCAAGGATTGTTTTCGTAAAATAACAGATAGGGTCAAGTTATTCTTTTATAGGACGAAAGAAATGAAACATATATATATTACACTAGAAAGGGCGCAATGAGTTGATGAAAACATATCAAGACATCATAGCACTCTGGACATTCCCATATGCACTCCATCCACATCTTCAGCAGCCACTGCATAATTCATTTTCCAATGGTACCATTAGAAATCTGATTTTTTTTATCTCTTGTCTTTTCATTGACTGTCAGCCAGATCCCCTAAGCACTCCTCGCTGCCCCAGTCTGTTCAGACAATGATGATCTTATTGTGCCTCTGCTCTGTTCACTCGCTCCAAAAGAACCTTGACAACATTTAGCTTGTCTTGCATCAGTTTACCACCCAGTGGTAAAGAACAAGCCAGTTTGTCTGCCTGTTTGTTTCCCAACACACTTAAACATTCATCTAAGGGGAGTCGTAACAAAGACACAGGGAGTTACTTAGTAATCAATGAGTTCAGACAATTTGTGATGTCTGTATTCTATGGGACTAAAACTGTGTGCCTTCACAGAAAGCATCATCGTAAGAGGTGTTTATACACCTAGACCACTGGACTAACAGTTGTCTAATATGTGTGTTCTTCCATGCTTTAATGCTGAATTGCCCAACATCTCTTTTGGTCTCCTTTGTCCTCTCTTCACATCCTAATTTCCAGTTGCCATTGCAGACTTCAGGTTTCCCTTTCTCACTACATGCTTAGATAATTATTTGTCTTTTTTTTTCTGTGGGAACACTACACTAATGCATCTAGTGACTGTTTGTGTGTGATCAAATGACGGCCGCTCAGAGACCCTGACAGTAGGTGTATAATATATACATGTATATGTTACTTTGTAAAGATCTTTTTGGTACCCAGTATGTGATTTTCCAACTGGAATACAGTCGTGTTCCATTACAGTCTATAGTATCTCTTAATATGCATAGCAAT